CAGACTTTTAAAACAGCTTCACCGACAAGTGGGAAAATGATGAGAAGTAGATGTTCTTGGGAGACAAGTATTTTGCATAAGACCTGGAATTATTAACTGTTAATTTATGTTTTTCAGAGGTTATTTGAGCTTCAGGTTTTTGAACTTCAGTTTCCAAATTTGTGAAATATCTACCTTCAAAAGTTGGTATGAAGGTTACATGAAAATGAATATATGTGCATGCATCTGGCACAACGTTTAACACGTATAATTCTAAATTATTCAACAAAATAAAAGATAAACAGGATTGATAATAAGATCTTTAAAACTCAACTGGAGTTTCAAGCTTTCCATGATGCTTTTCATTTTTCCAACCTCCAGCTTGTGCAGATCTACCCCCATGCCTATCTGGAAGAAGTGATCTCTTGCTGTGCTTAACTCCTGTTTAGTGTGACAATGTTTTGGTTATAATACTCTTCCAGACTCCACCTTATATTGATAAGTATTCAAATACACATAGTATTTCTCATACTAGATTGTAAGTTTCTCATATAATAGATATCTCTTTATGACTTTCAGTTACTAAAAATTATTTCTACTTACTTGGTATTCAATGGTCAATAGATATTTGATGAATAAATCCCTGTCTGAGTGGATGCCATGCTTTCAATTGATAGCCACAGTACCCATACCTTCCTATATTTTTTGGCACAGTTCCCATTTTATTTTGTTCTCTCTCTTCCATTTTCTAGACTGAGACAAATATGATTAGTTCTTCACATCCATTTCAATACTTTCTAACATGCTGAGGCTGGAGAGCTTAACACTGCAGTTCTCAGGCTTTTATTTATGCTTAGGTTCCTGTCTCATGCACTTTTATGAGACTTTGATTCGCACATAAGTCTCATGCAGAGGGAAGCCGAGTATGGGATGTTCATTTAGTTGATATGGATTATGGCCAAAGTTGGGGATCCAGCAGATTCTGGTTCACCAGCTCTGAGAGGGAGCAGTAGCCACAGCTGCATTTTCTATTATGATTGAAACAAGGGGGTTTGGGGGATTGTTCCTGGTGTTCAGCCTGAATAAAGTCTCCTACTCCAGCCCTCTCTATGATTTTATAAAAACCAATTCTCTTTCTGCTTGAACTAAGGTGAATTCCATCATTTGAAACAGAACAGACTGATACAATCACTCTGAGAAAATTATTATTCATCCTGAATCTCCATTTTCTTGTTTAAAAACTGGGACTATTAATAACGTTTTATAAAGTTGTTGGAAAGCATTAAATTAGATAATGTGTGAAGTCTTTCACACATAGCAGGCACACAACTGATTGTTATTCTCTGTTTTCTGCAAGGAATTGCTCTTATGTATTCACAGATTTCTTTATGGCTCTATGGATGGCAGTCCTCACATTTTTTAAATACTGTAGAAACTACTTTAGTCATTTGAATATTTGGGGTGTTTTGGGATAAAAAATTTAAAGTTAATAATAATTCAAAGGTTTCAGGCATGAGAGATTGAATGGATAGTTTAACTAGTCCTTAAAGTATCTGGAATTAACCTAGAATTCCAGTGTTTCAGCTATTGATAATATAATTATAAAATCAGTAAACCTTATTAATATTGAGAAGCAGAGCTCTTTATAAGTATACATGGAAAAATATCACATAAATCCCTACATGAAATGAATGATGGAAATAACCAGGTAAATATAGTAATAACTATTTTTCTGTTGAATTTTATAATTATTTCATCTAATTTTATTTTTAATAAATGAATAAATCGATGTACTATTTATAACTAACTGGGACTATTAATAACATTTTATAAAATTGTTGGAAGCATTAAATTAGATAACATGTGAAGTCTTTCACACATAGCAGGCACACAACTGATTGTTATTCTCTGTTTTCTGCAAGGAATTGCTCTTATGTATTCACAGATTTCTTTATGGCTCTATGGATGGCAGTCCTCACATTTTTTAAATACTGTAGAAACTACTTTAGTCATTTGAATATTTGGGGTGTTTTGGGATAAAAAATTTAAAGTTAATAATAATTCAAAGGTTTCAGGCATGAGAGATTGAATGGATAGTTTAACTAGTCCTTAAAGTATCTGGAATTAACCTAGAATTCCAGTGTTTCAGCTATTGATAATATAATTATAAAATCAGTAAACCTTATTAATATTGAGAAGCAGAGCTCTTTATAAGTATACATGGAAAAATATCACATAAATCCCTACATGAAATGAATGATGGAAATAACCAGGTAAATATAGTAATAACTATTTTTCTGTTGAATTTTATAATTATTTCATCTAATTTTATTTTTAATAAATGAATAAATCGATGTACTATTTATAACTATGTATTTTAATAAAAATAAATTCACAAATAAAAAATTATCTGTGCTCTTACTCATGATTTTAGTCCAGAAAATAAGTTCACATAAATGCTTTAAAACACTCTACTGTCAGTGTACTTATGTTTGTTGATCTTATCTATAAAAGAAAGG